CTTGGCCACGAGACACTGCGCCATAGAACGAGCAGTGCGTGGCTGGCCTGGACTCTCTATTCTAGCTGTTCCACATCCGCACAAATCGAAAGGTGCTACCGGTGAGTTGTGATTTGCGCCGTAACAGGTGCAACGTACCAAACCATCTCTTAGTACTGAAATCATAAGCTTTCAATTGTATATTGTGTTACAGGTGTTGACCGATAAATAGCGAAGAAGGGGCTAAGGACGCTAATGGCAATGCTCTAATAAGCTCCACGTGGAAAGCGAAGTTTCAACAATAGAATTGCAGCCATTCTCGAGACGACCAACCAGGAGAGAAGCTACCCAAACCTCATCAATGTATATGTAGCACTCACGGTCCTGCCCTTCAGCCCATTTGAGTGTGAACGCGGATTCCGCAGGAAGAATGTCATAAAGAGCTGGCAGAGGATGAGCCTCTGGCTCAGCAACCTTATGTTCCTGAGCAAGAATAAGTATGGCATGGAGTGGGATGAGGTCATGAAGTTGTGGCGGTGTCGCAAGAAGCGCCGGCCCAGTCACAAAAAGAAAGTCTAGCAGTAGTGACATCATCGATGCAAAGGCAAGGAGAAGGTGCTTGATGCCTCTGACAAGGATGACTAGTAGTAGCACTAGTTATGGTTTTGATGACGAGAACTACTAGGTGGGATCAGATTCCTCTCTTGTAGATATTCTTGTTTTGAATAGCTCGGATTGACTAGTATTGATTCAACATACATAACTGTCACAACTAGGATAAACAAATCAACATCGAAGTCGGCAAAAAAGTTGTCCTAAAGGCTCAGAGTAAAGTTATAGCATGCCTAAGAATTACAAGTCCATGAGGGCCATGCATTGAGCATGATATCCACTTTAAAGCCCTTTCCCCGATGACTTAGGGCCTAAAAAGGAATATGAGGCCTGGTAGCGGGAGAGCACGCTCATAACTCCCCTAGCTAGTGTGCCTTTAGCCCTTCCTGAGGATCAATCTGGCATCCCTCCTTCACTAGGATGCCATATAACGCGACACATGGGGACTTCAATCAGAAACCTCTCGCTTTGATACCATGTCGAAATCACTGTCGCTAACCATTGGGATAAAAAGGGATTGCTTATGTAGCGGTGAGCGCGCATATAGCCCCCATGGCTAGCGTGCCTGTAGCACCTACTGGCGATCAATCTCGCATCCCTAGTGATTGTGTTCTGGCAAAAACCTTCCAAAATAAATGGCCCTCTTTAGTATTACAAAGTCTTTTATCCCAATGGTGTTTACATCCGGGGAATTATGGTACCAAGGAGTGTAATACACTGGTCAAAAGCGGGCACCTAGCCCAAGAGTGAAAGTCCAGCTGTGGTTCCCAGAAAACAGGTTCGAAACTGCAAACCACAAATAGCAAACAAATAAGCATCGAAATACAAGGTAACACACAAATTGTCAAAACTAGCAATATCCATGAAGGATCTAAAACCTAGGATCTATGGTACTACACACCAGCAAGCGTGCAATAATATTCCTTATACACGCACTAAACAATGCAGCCAACCATCAACCAAGCCACTTCCTATCCTCCGAGCAACTGCACCGCTGAACAAGCCCCCACCCATATGACATTCCTTTGGCTCTGCCAGCGTGTGCCTCCTTGCCCCATGTACAGCCAACTAGTGCTGCCTGTTCTTAACTTGCCGAGCAGCCCCTCCCTCCATAGTGGGCATGATCAACCTGAAGCCACAAGGAAAGGGTCAAATGGAGGGCAGGCCACAGCATATGAAGTGATGCAACAGAAGATGGTAGAGGAAAATATGTAATTGGCATGTGGGTTGTTATGGGTGCATGTGGGCTGTTCATGGGTGCATGTGCGCTGCTATGGGTGCATGTGGGCTGTTCATGGTGCATGAGGGCTGTTATGGGTGCATGTGGGCTGTTCATGGGTGCATGTAGGCTGTTCATGGGTGCATGTGGGCTGTTCATGGGTGCATGTGGGCTGTTCATGGGTGCATGTGGACTGTTCATGGGTGCTTGTGGGCTGTTCATGGGTGCTTGTGGGCTGTTCATGGGTGCGTGTAGGTAGTTCATGGGTGCGTGTGGGTAGTTTATGGGTCCATGTGGGCTGTTCATGGGTGCATGTGGGCTGTTCATGGGTGCATGTGGGCTGTTCATGGGTGCATGTTGCTAGAGACTAAGGACGGAGTCTACGAAGAATAGGTGCCTAAGTCTCTCAAAATCGTTGGCTTAGAATTCTGGACAGAAACATCGCATTCACAAGAAACGCCGTCGACAAAAACACACCGTTAAAACTTCACCAATTATGGATATGTTGTAGCTCTAGAGCATAGCTACAATTCCCAATTTTATTTGTGCAATAAGGTGAAGTATTTCTTGAGTTATTAATTTCGGCGCACTAGGGGGTAAGCTGCCATAGAAACTTAACTCAATCACAAAAGTTTCACAAGTACACACAAGAAAGTTAGAGTAGCTAAAAACCAGGTAGAAGGGGAGAGGAGGACGAGAAGCAAGGTCTCCAAGGAGTCCCCAACCAAGGAAACCCCATAAGCACATCAAATCCCCTCCCTATTGCAACCCCACTTTTACTTTTGTCACTTTCCCAACCTCCACAATCCACCTCATCCAAGTTGGCCACACTTGCCAACCCAATTTGGTTTCTCCCAATCACTTGGCAGCATCTACAGTGATGGGGACGAATTTCCCAACCCCCAAAAGTCTGTACCCCATATTGAGTCAACCCCACAACCTCCCGTAGTCACCACAACCAAATATCAAAAGCATACGAACTTCAAACGTTCGTAACTTTCTTGTTCGTGCTCCGATTGAAGCAATACTTGGCTCGACGGAAAGCTCTTGAGCAGAGGAGTCACTTCAGATATCTGCTCAAGCCAAATAACATTCACACAGACTAAGGAAATCCAAACCATACGAAACACAAATTCTTGCACACGTTCACACCACGCATGCAACTCACGAACATATGACGGGAGGCAGACAGACGTGAATGCAAATGATAGCATCACATAACACATGTGGGTTGTTCATGGGTGCATGTGGGCTGTTCATGGGTGGATGTGGGCTGTTCATGGGTGCATGTGGGCTGTTCATGGGTGCATGTGGGCTGTTCATGGGTGCATGTGGGCTGTTCATGGGTGCAAGTGGGCTGTTCATGGGTGCATGTGGGCTGTTCATGGGTGCATGTGGGCTGTTAATGGGTGCATGTGGGCTGTTCATGGGTGCATGCGTGCTCTTTATGGATGCGAGTCTTGCTAGCACAAGCTCAAACCCCTTCGCATCCTGCTCCGTTATATGCGCTAATGGTGGTACGGTCGCTTTCCTGTTTCCCGGCCTGCCGATTGATGTTGTGTGTAACCCCCAGATACCATGTCCAAGGTGCGTATCGATGTTGATCTTGAAGGTGGCTTCAAAACCGGAGTCCACATTCAGGGCGGCGGTTTTGGGCGAAAATCTTGTCAGGTTTATGAAATTGAAATTGCCCTCGCGAAATTGTGAGAGAATGCCTTCGCGTTGGAAAACTGGTTGAGCAAGTGATTAACCTACGCCCAACCCAAGGAATGTGCAATGGCGAAACTGTAGTGAGAGATGTGATCCTTAGGTATGGCATTCAAGTTGGGGGAGAAGTTAACGCGAGACTAAACCACAGTCAATTCTGGAGCTGGCCTGCTCGATAGTTAGAAGAAGGTGAACTCTCGCTTCTATGGATGAAGCGTGAGAAAAGTGTCTGATAATTGGAACTGTCAGAATATATCTGTAACTGCCTGTAGCTGTAGTTAGTGTAGTTATTATAAACTTTGTTTGGTGGTGCACCTTCTTTGTTTCCTTTACTATATGTTCTTGCAAACCTATAGTGAAGCCCTCTTTCTCCTTTCCAACTTTCTCAACACTCTCCTCAACCCTAAACTCGATCTCTAAAAACCTAACTAACTATGGCTCCTAAGCCCACCTATGCTTAGTATCTCAACATGGTATTCAGAGCAGGTATCGTCCTCCTGCTGCCTTCCTGCTTCCGCTGCCTATCGTCCTGCCGCGCGCCCGAGGCGCGCGGCGTATTTTTCTCACCGTGCGCATGCCCGCCGTGTGCTCGGGACGCACGGCGGGCTTCTGCCCGCCGTGCGCCCTGGGCGCGCGGCGTCTTCCTGCCCCGCGCGTGGCCTGCCTTCACGCCGCCTGCGCGCCTGCCTCACGTCCACGCGCAGGCCTGTCTTGCCCGCCCGTACCCTCCACTTCAAGGCGCCCTGCGAGGCGCCGCTCCTGCTTGTCGCGACGCACCTGCGGGACCCAGGTGTCGCCGCTCCTGCTCGTCGCGACGCCCATGCAGGACCCGCATGGCATCGCCTTGCTCGTCGTGACGCCACTGCGGGACCCGCGGGGCGTCGCCACTGCTCGTCGCGGCGCCCCCTGGACGCCGCTCCTGCTCGTCGCGGCGCCCCTGGGGCGTCGCCCCTACTCGTAGCGGCACCCCTTGGGCGCCGTTCCTACTCGTCGCGGTGCCCTCCCCCCTGGCCACCGCCTCTGCCTCACCTGCGCCCGCGCCAGCGTTGCAGCCGCGCGCGGGCCTACCTTGCACCAGCGCCGCCCCTGGAGCAGCCGCCCCTGGACCTCAGCAGCCGCTCCTGGACCTCAGCAGCCACCCCTGGACCCCGCGAGCCGCCCCAGCAGCAGCCCTCAGCACCGCCCCTGGAGCAGCCGCCCCTGGTGCAGCCGCCCTTGGACCTCAGCAGCCGCCCCTGGACCCCACGAGCCGCCCCAGCAGCAGCCCACGGCGCTGACCCTACAGCTGTATGCGCCGCCACTCCTGGACTCGGTACGGCTGCCTGCCTGTGCTGCCTGTTGCTGCCCGTGCCTGTGCTGCCTGTTGCCGCCCGTTGCTGCCCGTGCCTGTGCTGCCTGTTGCGGCCCGTTGCTGCCCGTGCTTGTGCTGCCTGTTGCTGCCCGTGCGTGTGCTGCCTGTTGCCGCCCGTTGCTGCCTGTGCCTATGCTGCCCGTTGCTGCCTGTTGCAGCCCGTGCCTGTGCTGCCCGTTGCCGCCTGTTGCTGCCCGTGCTTGTGCTGCCTGTTGCCGCTCGTTGCTGCCCGTGCCTGTGCTGCCTGTTGCTGCCTGTTGCTGCCTGTTGCTGCCCGTGCCTGTGCTGCCTGTTGCCGTCCGTTGCTGCCTGTGCCTGTGCTGCCCGTTGCCGCCAGTTGCTGCCCGTGCCTGTGCTGCCCGTTGCCGCCCGTTGCTGCCCGTGCCTGTGCTGCCCGTTGCCGCCCGTTGCTGCCCGTGCCTGTGCTGCCCGTTGCCGCCCATTGCTGCCCGTGCCTGTGCTGCCTGTTGCCGCCCGTTGCTGCCCGTGCCTATGCTGCCTGTTGCTGCCCGTGCCTGTGCTGCCTGTTGCCGCCCATTGCTGCCTGTGCCTGTGCTGCCCGTTGCTGCCTGTTGCTGCCCGTGCCTGTGCTGCCCGTTGCCGCCTGTTGCTGCCCGTGCCTGTGCTGCCTGTTGCCGCCTGTTGCTGCCCGAGCCTGTGCTGCCTAATACTGCCTGTTGCTGCCCGTGCCGGTGCTGCCCTTTGCCGCCCGTTGCTGCCCGTGCCTGTGCTGCCTGTTGCCGCCCGTTGCTGCCCGAGCCTGTGCTGCCTATTGCTGCCCGTTGCTGCCTGTGCCTGTGCTGCCCGTTGCCGCCCGTTGCTGCCCGTGCCTGTGCTGCCCGTTGCCGCTCTGCTGCTGCCCGCGCCCTCGTGCGCCCTGCTGCTACCCGCGCCCTCGTGCGCTCTGTTCTGCTCTGTCGCCCCTGCCCCCCCCCCCCCCCCCCCCCCCCCCCCCCCTTCTTCGTCTCCTTGCTGCGCGTGCAGCCGTGGAACGGAGGCTATGGGGGTGGCGGGTGGGTGTGTGTGATCCCCTTCCCCTCCTCCTCCTTTCTCTCCCACTGCTGCAGCTGCCGCCGGGGGGGGGGGTGGGTGTGAGGGTGTGGGGGAGCTGGGGGAGAGGTGCTAGGGTTGTCAAGGAGTGTGGAAGGGGGAGTTGGAGGACTAAGGAAGGTTCCAGGAAGCAGCCGCCTTGGAGCCAGCAGCTTCACCTGCCAGCAGCCTCTCCTCATATAGTCCCTCCTCCTCACTTGCCCTCTCCTTCTGCTGGGCTTGGTGTACCCCTTCAGGGGGTGTCTCTGCATTAGCTTCTGCTGCAGGCAGTTATGGGGGAGTGTCAGAATATATCTGTAAATGCCTGTAGCTGTAGTTAGTGTAGTTATTATAAACTTTGTTTGGTGGTGCACCTTCTTTGTTTCCTTTACTATATGTTCTTGCAAACCTATAGTGAAGCCCTCTTTCTCCTTTCCAACTTTCTCGACACTCTCCTCAACCCTAAACTCGATCTCTAAAAACCTAACTAACTATTGCTCCTAAGCCCACCTATGCTTAGTATCTCAACAGGAACTGGCTCGGGATCCTAATCTATCATTTTCCAGTATTGTTCCTAGCTTCAATGATCTGACCAGGTTCGGAACTTCTACTATGTTCAGGTATCAGAGTAGAATCAATTGAGAGGATGGTGGATCTTATCTTTTGCTGGCCCTACTACGTCAGCAAGGAAAGAGCTTCTAGAGTTTGCATCCCTGGAAAGTACGCTGCAAAAAAATATGTGTTCAAAGCCAGGACAGCAACCACTTCTATTAACAACCTACTTGTTGGGTGGGTTAAGATGTTGTGACGTTGTATAGTGGGATTATGGGTAAGAACAATGACACCTCTAGCTTTGGTAGTTAGTGTTGCAGCTATAACAGAGGTGAAAGGTGTCCAGTAGCAATGGTCGTCTATTATTCTAGTGTCTGTTCGAATGATAGTGTCTGCTGCAGTTTTTTGTCCAGTCAATTATTATTGCTTGCTTGTTCCAGTCGCCTTGGTCGTTCACGTCAAGGCCCGCAAATGAAAAAAGATTTCGAGTGACCCTTTGGTGGCTGATCCCAGCTTCTCCAGGTTCAGTAGGTGAGAGGTTACAGTGATGTGGTCTGCAGCAGCTATGAACACCCTTCATCGTTCCTCATCCAGCTTATTTGCCGAACCATTTTTCGCGAAAGCTGCCGGTTGCAATGAGGAAAATCGTTGGATCCCAGAGGATGGGTGACACTAGGACTGAGGTGTGCAAAGAAGCCACTGCAAGAGAAAAACCATTCGCACGTGAATGGATCAAGCTAGAAAAGGGAGTCAACAGGTGAGAACTGTGCAGCACTATTATTGTTAATCCAATGAACATTTACAAGTTAAGGTTCTGTCAGAGTAGCTAGGTAAAATAGGAATGAAAGGAAGAGGGGTTTCAATAGCAGGCAGTTGGGATACAAATGGCAAACCCTAACCTGGCTGTACTCACTATAGAGTACCCCACTGCAGACTAGACAAATATCACATTCTGACAAGTTCCACTTCCCTATATTATTATGCCGCTCTGTGATGAACAGATCATGATGCTTTTCATAATTATGTCCTCCATAGAGGCATGACAACGCTGGATAGTGGATGAAGAGCTATTTGCCGATCTCCATCGGATTATCAACAATGTGGCGCCAGCGGTAACAATCTGGTTGACGGTGGACAGCCAGACCCTTGACCATATCAATGTCAGCATCAGTGAGGGATGTGGAACGAGGTGGAAATAGAGGCCCTTGATTGCTGACTTCCTCGGCTTCAGCTTGTACAACACCGAGGTGAGATGAAGCAGGAACTTGCGTACAAACGACTTTAATCACTTTCAGATTGGTAGAGTTCTCCTGGCATAGGATGGGTCCTCAATGTGTTGCCATAACAACTTTACCATTGTCCCATTTGCCTTCTGATAGTCCACCGAGTCGTAATTGATGTGGTTTGCATCCCGTGCCTCCAAGAAGGTCTGCAACTGGCAGAACCGAGTCTTCACAGCGTATGCAGGCTGCAACACTTGGAACTTTTCGGTATCAAAGGCGTCTTGTGTTGATTAACAAGCTCCATACCTTCTTCATCAGCATGCGCAGTGTGGAGATGATGGACGCTATCTCTTGAGACAGTACAAACGAGACCAGTAAAATGACCGTGAAACGATAACGGAATGCTGCTTCCTTGGCAATGTAGATATCCAACTCCTCGTCCAAATCATCAGCAACATCAGGAATCTGTGCTGCTTGAACTTGCTTGCCGCAGATAAACCCGAACTTCCCGCGACTGCATTCATCGTCGTAACTGGGTCTTGTGTCTTCTTGGGTTGCTCTCCCTCCTTGTTCATGGCTGGTTCAGGATCAACTTGAGGCATGACTAGAGTGTCAACAGGGGAGACAACCTCCATAGTAGACTTGGTGGCCCTTCCTTTCGGTAGCATGGAGTAATGATAACTGATAAAAGGCAGCCGGGACTTGAGTAGTCCCTTGAAGTTTGAAAACGCTTCAAAGGAATATCTTAAAACAGCACACTAAGGACGTGGTGGGAATGGGGCTAGTGGCGAGGAGGCAACGCCTGTAGTATACTTTTGGCTTTCATAATGTTTTGACGATCGAGTCTTGTGAGAGGGGTTGGGAGGCCTTTGTCGCTCGTGACAGAAGTGGAGTGGCCCTGTAATTCGGTTACCACCAGGTCCCTTTTTTAAAACTTTTGGCACTAGCCCTGCCAAATCTATACCGCTGCTTTAACAAAAAGAGGGTTGACAGTAGATTTTGCCAGGGAAATCGACCGTTGACCCACCGTTGACCGTCGACCTCTTGCCCACGGGAAGAAAAACTAAAACCCCCTCGGATGGCGTGCAATTTGAGGGAGGCATCGACACTAAACACCATGCGACAAGGTGTTTACGGTTGATCCCCCCCATGGTTGCACGCCATTCCCGTTCGTTTTAGTTTTTTTTTTTTTTTTTTAATGCCTCGAGCAGCAGTTTTCGTGGGCGGACTCGTTTGTCTGTTGAAATATACGGTATCAAGAGGAAAGAGATTACGGTACTCTACATGATGTGCCTAAGCCTTTGTAGAAGACCCTAGGTTCCATGATGTGGGTCTGGTCTCTTTAAGCGCTTACAGTGGAAGGCCAGCTGTGGTTCACAACAAAACAGGTTCACAATCGTCAAGTACACTTGACAAACAAAGAAACACAGAATTACAAGGTTAGCACACAAAGCGCCAAAAGCTAGCAATTTAACTGAAGAAACAAAAACTAGGCTCCATGATACAACAGACAGACCAACAAGCATGCAAGTATATTCCTGATACACGCACTAAATAATCCAGCCAACCGTCAGCCAAGTTGGTTCCTAGCCTCGGAGCAACCGCATGCAGTTGCTCGCACCTCTGCTCCATCAGCCCCCGCCGATATGACGTCGCTCTGACGCTGCCAGCTTGCGCCTCCTTGCACCCCCCCCCCCCCCCCCCCCCCCCCCCCCCCTCCCCCCCTCCCAAACAACTAGGGCCGCCCGTTCTTCGCTTGTTCACGAGCACCTTTAGAGTGGATGCGATCAATCTGTAGTTGCATGGAGGGCAGGCCACAACACAAGAAGTGAGGTCAGACAGACGAGGATAGAGGAAGATGTGCAACTGACATGTGGGCTGTTCATGGGTGCATGTGGGTGGTGAAGAGCTGGCTCCACTAGTTTGGAGGAGAGCAAGGCACAAAGCAGAGCAAGGCACATATCAGAGTAAGGCACAGATCAGAGCAAGGCACAGATCAGATCAAGGCACAGAATAGAGCAAGGCACAGATCAGAGAAAGGCACAGATCAGAGCAAGGCACAGATCAGAGCAAGGCACAGATCAGAGCAAGGCACAGATCAGAGCAAGGCATAGATCAGAGCAAGGCACAAAGTAGAGCAAGGCACAAAGCAAAGCAAGGCACAAAGCAAAGCAAGGCACAAAGTAAAGCATGCATTTATTCCTCTCCTGTACGAGTGAACCCACACTTACCGATCTGGCAGCCAACTGATTGCGAGACTTGGGCTAGTTTGACAGTCCTGAGAGAGGGAGCGGTAAGGATAGGAAAGAGCAAAGATGAGAACAAGTCACTCCAGGCATGACAGTCACTCCATTCACGCTACAGTGGCCAAGCAAACTATCTGGTGAACTAAGGGTGTTGTACCCTTGGCTAGAAGAACAAAGACTAGACGACACATCACGTGCTGTGCGTGCATCACACATGCGCCATGCACCACACATGCAGCCGTGCATCACACACGCAGCCGTGCACCACATACGCAGCCGTGCACCACACACGCAGCCATGCACCACACACGTAGCCGTGCACCACACACGCAGCCGTGCACCACACACGCAGCCGTGCACCACACACGCAGCCGTGCACCACACACGCAGCCATGCACCACGCTCACAAACCTTTTTGTGACGGGGTAGGCCACGCTCGTCCTCGCAGGACGCATGATCGTGAGAGCTGCCTGCCCCGAGCAGCCCGGGCCGGTGTAAAAATTCAGAGCATAGCACTTGCCGTCGCCAGCCGCAGCGAGCTTCGCGGCTCTCCACACAACAGTGACCTTGGCGCTGCCGCCGATGCTGTGGGTGAGGTCCGTGCAGGCGGAGGTGCCGCCAAGCGCGTCTGCCGGACCAATGGTGGAGAAGGTGAGCCTCTGCTTCTTGGCCTTGCCGCGGTTGGGTTTGCGCCCCCCAGGTCCAGAGTTGCCTTGCAGCTCCAGCGTAGTCCGCAGAAGGGGGACTGAGCGGCCGGTGAGACGAAAGGAAAGGGAAAGGGCAGTGAAGGGAGGAGTGAGGAGATGAATGCAGCTTAGTGGCCTGAGTAGCCGGTGAGACAGGTGACTGACAGCAGGAATGGAAAAGGCAGGGGAAGGAAAGGAAAGCGGCACGTAGGGGAGAATGTGTGGGAGTGAGGAGATGAAAGCAGCTGGTCTCCAAGAGTTGCCTCTCAGTGCTGCCTGCTGAAATGTGTTTGAAATATATTGTGTAGCACTCACGATAGCACGTCCTGTCTAGCACTCACGATAGCACGTCCTGTCTAGCACTCACGATAGCAAGTCCTGTCTAGCACTCATGATAGCACGTCCTGTAAGCCTCACTGAAGACAAAACCAGTGGTGGGGCACTCGCAAACGGGATCGCCAAAACCGGACCGAGTGCAGACAGCATCGCCACAGTCCAGGGTAGCACACGGCTCTGCAGGGGAGATTATGGGTCAGTAGGGGAAGGGGCTTAGACGAGTTGAAATCTTGCTTAGTATGCTGTAAGTATTGGTTTTCTTAAAATTTTGAACGTAACATACAGAAGTTCGCGGGTTTATTGCAATACTGCGCATCCCCACACATTCACCCACACACGCACACGCACCCACAAGCGCACACTCACCCTCGCACGTCTTGGTATCGTTATCGAAGTCAGACCCATCGGTGCACAAGCACTCGGCTGTGTTATCCTAACCCACACTGCACTCCGCATCGGCCCCACAGTCCACGTTGGTGCACATGTCTGCACAGCAATCGTGATTTGTTACAAAATAAGGTAAAGGCGAAGAAGCGAGTTAGAGGACAACAGAAATTGTGTATTGAGCGCTCACCCGCACTCCATCACT